ACTGTATCTCATTAACTATTGAACCAAATAATTTAAAATTTGCATCACGTGTTGAGTATTGAGTTGTGAATAACCCCCTAAAATGGCAGCACAAATCAAACTTTCGGAAATGCGAAGCGAGTCTCGAAACTTAATTGTTTGACCGTGTATTAGTTTCTCGCGACTGTGTCTCCTATATTCGTTTATGCAATTATGTGCACAAAAATTGGAAACTTGCGCGATAACACGACGTGGTAAATATATCCTGAAGCGGGAAAGGGAGAGACACACGCATGTGTGGAATTTTATCGAGGACGGTGGACAGATTGAATCGCTGTTCTACGGTGTCTAATTTGTCGTTTTTTTTCCTGCCTGACAGTCTTCGAAGGTGTCGTGTCGTATATCATTAGGATAAAATAATTGCGTAACGCTAAGCGGACTTTATAATCATTCACGCGCATAGTGTGTAGCTACAAATCAAACGGTGTATTTTGTAATACATGCGTGTACATGGGGTTACGTTACATTTTCCAGTCATGTAAATAAATTGCTTTCGCGTTTTTCTTCTATCTCTCTCCTTTTTTTTTTCTTCCCGGCTCCCCGATTTTTATCAAAACCGACTCGTAATGTGTTAATCATTTGCGACACATGGATGCAATTCGCGCTCTATGCAAATCGTGTCGATGATATCTCTATTACGGCGCTGTTTATGCGCACGATATTCTTCGCGCATAATGGAAGAATTATGAATGATGAATAGAACATCTATCGTCATTGATTTATCGGAACAACCCAATAATGCTGCAATCTTTCCATAGAGACAATAAAAAATAAACGGCAACATCTCATATAACAGAGAGTGTACAATGTAATTTGCAATTTCACATAGCCTTTGTACAAATTTTTTCTCAAACGAATGAATTCTCATAGATCAAACTACTGGTCCATAGATATATGACTCTCCTCTTTGCAAGTCGCGATATTCTTCCCATTGTCTCGATAAATGCAATGAACGAGCGAACGAGACTCGCGACACGTTATCACCTTCGGCTTTCGTGTGTGAATATATTTATACTGCAAGAATACACGCGCGTTTCCAGTGCCTCCGCTTGTGCATTTCTCTCTTTTCTCTTATTGTACGTATGCGATTATGCGCCTCCGAGCCAGGCCGAAGGCGAAGAAGCTGGGAACCGTTAGCGACACCTCCTTTACACGCACGCACGTGCACCATGTAAATTTCAGGAAAGATTAAAGTGACCAAAGAGAGAGAGAGAGAGAGAAAAACGTGAAGAAGTAGAATATACAGAGTCACGGAAACTGAGAATCGCATCTCGATAAAATAAACTCTCAACAGGCTGCGTGACTCAAAATAGTAATCTAATTATCGAATAGAAAATGCGAAAACACATGTTATTATAACAACATTCATATTATCTCGCGTTAACCTGCATAGTTATCGATGATAATTATTACGATATTAGCATACTTGGCAAGTGTGGACTTGCTTTTTTAATTATTAATCCGAGCGTATTTCAAGTAAGATCTGAAATCGCTCCTTTTTAATCTCGATGTTTAAAGAATTATTTATAAAATCTTTATCGTCTTTATGTAAACAGACAAATCTTAATTCTTGCAATTCTCAGGATTTGAATCGATTCTTTAAGATGAATGGAAATATATGCATCACATTTCTTTTAACCGCAATATGAAGCAAAAATCTCATCTCTAGTTCGCTCAATCTTATGTGAAAAAGTTAAACTGTTTTAAATATTAAATAAAAGAATGTAATGGTGACTATATCGCGGAAGGAAGCGGAGCTTTTTGCATTGTGACAATCCGTGAGAATTCAAGCACTCTCGGTAGCAAGGCACTCGACTCGAATCGCGATAAAAAAGTTCTCTCTCTCATTTCCTTCTGAGGACGGTTCTTTTCAATTACGAGAGCGACGAGAGACATTAAAAATCGCCATGCGAGTGCCAGGGTATATATGTGAAAAAATCAGCGGGACGAAAAAACGAGGGGAGATATCGGAGGAAGAAGGGACCACGCGCACATGTGGCGGGATGTTGTCGTTGACATCTTGCCGTACGATGACGAACAACACTCTTTGCGAGAGAAATGGGTTCAATGAATCTGTCCCGAGCTCGTATTTTTGCGCGTCGCGCAAAAGAGCCATCGGGATCGTGCGACATCGCGCCGACCAATCTTAAAAATAATCACGGTTCATCTGGCGCCGTGATAAGTAACGTGTCGCCATGCCGAAGCACCCATGATTCCCCTGCGTCCACCGTAAAATATTATTGCCAATATTTCGAACGAAACGATCGATGCTTTATCGATTTCAGCGCGATCGAATAACATTTTTACGTCTACGAATTTTATGCGGCGACGATCCGTAACTATTCTCTTAAATTTATTATTAATCATAAATTATTATTACGTTTTCCATCTACAGATTCTTCAAAACATACGCGCGAAAGATGATAAGAAGCGCATATTTTTCTACAAAAACAGGTGAATTAAAATTAAGAATTTATAGCTTCGCGAAATGAATTGTTATCAATCCACTTTAACTCACTTATTTAATCTTGTAACATGTTTTTATATATCTTTTACTTTTAATTCACCTGTTTAACATCGCAAGACAAACATGTCATTCTCTTTGATTTCGTTCCAATTCATTTATTTAAAAATTCTGGGTAAAAGATAATAATGAAAGACGAATTACCTTGCGCGGCTTCGAAGAAAGGATTCGCGACAGCCGGCGCGAAAATGGTCGCAATTGTTGTTATCAGCAGCATCGCTAAGTAGTGCATTTTATCGGTGCGCACTTGCAACACACCCTCTTGAATCCCTCTCCGCAACAACGTGCTCACCTCATCTCGCCATCATACGCACGCGAGCACGTGTTTCAACGAGCACGTGTTTGTTTATGGAAAAAAAAAAAGCGGGAAAAAAAGAAAAGAAAGAGAAGAAGGAGAAAAGAAAATGTCAATTTCAGGGATACTCCGAGGACTCACATGTTCTCAGAGTGAGACCACGCGTTGACACACGTACGGAACCGAGGTGTGCATTCGAGCGCAGCTCGCGAACGACTGAGCTTTTCGTGGCATTTACGAGTTGAGCTTTTTACTGACTGAGTTGGTGAGAGGAAGAAACGTGGAGAGGATAGCCGGTGCCCCCCTCGAGTATCGGGAGGGGACCGAGACGGCGAGAGCGAGCGAGAGAGGAAGAAAAAGGGAGAGAGAAATTGCATGTGTGGGTGGGAAGAGACGTATGGCGCGCGCAGTTGTCACGCGGTGCAACTATGCGCTATTGTGACATCTTCGGTCGTATACCCACACGTACCCTGCTATACCGTTTTTTTTTTTTTTTTTTTTTTTTTTTTCCCATCTCCCCATCATTCCCAAACCGCGTACGTCGTGACGAGTTCTTTGTTAAGCACGTAGCGCTTTGTTACGCAAGTAGCGAAATGTGATTGTCTTTTACCCCTCAACATATTTTCACGTAAAAACATTTTTCCTCTCGATTAATTCTAATTTGGAGTTAATTTTTTGCTATTTTTAACTGATGATTTTTGATGCGCCGAAAATAGTTACGAGATTATAACGATTGATTTAGAAGTTAAACATGCTCTCTTAAATTTATATATTTATATAATAGATAATATAGTTATTTTCACTAAAAATATAAATAAATTTAGAATAGTAATAAATATTGATAGAAATATTAATAGATAGAAATAAATTTATAAAATTAGATTAGAAATAAATTTATTTTAATGTCGTCAAAATAATCTTCTAGGCAATAAATCGTATACGTTCACTTTTTTTATATATAATATTCATATGAAATAATCGTGGCCTTTCAAAATCGCATTGCATAATACATAAATACGTTTTTGTCGCTAAGCTTATCGAGAGTTTCTTCAGCGTGTAGAATTATAATAGCGCACAGGAAGATATGAATTGGAAGAGAGAGCATGCGTAATGGACCACTTGACCATATTCATTCTCCGGCTGCAACGTCTTCTCAAGTATATACTTCTCGGGTCGAGACACACAGGCAAGTCTCTCGGACGAAAATCAGTCCGCGCCCATAAATCTAATGTCGTTGCGGGCCCCCTTGCCTCGTGGCTCCGAGTGGCATCGTATTCCGAGAAGAAGAAAAGCCGATAACCCAGGGACGTAACTTCCGCTGATAACATCGCGATATAACGCCAAGTAAATCTCCAGTAATACATTTCAGAGGTATCGTATCGATATTCCAGCCGACGTCCCGTATATATAAGCCTCATGTTTAGACGTCAATCATATTTAATTTACACCTGTGTACTTAACGTAAACAGAGTATAAACGCATATTGTCGCGAGATAAGATCATTTACGATGAATTGATCATCAGTGTAAAATTATTGATTATTTAAGAAACTTTATACACGCTGCATCCGTTTTGGATGAACGACTTAATTAAAGGTCGGAGCGAGATTTCCTTGAACTGCATATCTTGCATATTTTTCTACGTTACCTGATTTATCACGCAGTCAGAGCTTGGACCGCGGAGGATACATCCATTTTTTATCGATGTCTCTCGTCGGCCAACGGGTGTCCGAAAACATGTCCGACGTCATCTCTGGATATTTGATTGACTGATCGGAGCGGATTCTCGGAGCGCTCGTAATTTATTAATTTATTCCGTCGATAAATCGCCTTCAATCCGCACGTGGGCAGCGGACGACCGGTTCTTAATAGCTCTCTCTCTCTCTCTCTCTCTCTCTCTTTCTTCCAGTGTTTAATCTCGTCTCTTTCTCTCTCCGTCGTTCCCGCTCTGTCCCTTTAAAGAGGGAGAAGGCCGTTATTCTACTGCCGATGTAAATGACAGCAGGCGAGGTATGTCATTTGCCTGCGTTGCACAATTGGCGGGTGTTATGCAAAATTGTGTTAACCCACTAATTTTACGCAAATTAAGTTTAAAATGTACAGTTTCACACATATTCTACCAGCTCAACCATTAGATCTATTTCTTTCTCCTTTAATATTGCTTGTTTTCTTCCACCGTTTAATCTCGTCTCTTTCTCTCTCCGTCGTTCCCGCTCTGTCCCTTTAAAGAGGGAGAAGGCCGTTATTCTACTGCCGATGTAAATGACAGCAGGCGAGGTATGTCATTTGCCTGCGTTGCACAATTGGCGGGTGTTATGCAAAATTGTGTTAACCCACTAATTTTACGCAAATTAAGTTTAAAATGTACAGTTTCACACATATTCTACCAGCTCAACCATTAGATCTATTTCTTTCTCCTTTAATATTGCTTGTATAATATATTCTTACGTAATATCCGCGTATAATTACAGTGTAATAACAATCTTTGTAACGAGATTTACGCGAGAACCGATATTCTTGGCGCTGACTGATTCTCTCGAACATTTTTCTCGTCATCCGTCATCATTCCGGGATTCCGAGACGATAATACAAATGCAGTCTAAAGTCCGCTCTCGATTAACAGTCGCGTAAAGTAAACGCGCGACCAGTTCCTCGATCCGAGTTTCTTCTCTCGAGACACGTCCGCTATGTTAATCGCGCGCGATCGTATAAATATTCAAACACACGCTGGACCACACGACTATAGCTCGAACGGACCTCCGTGCTACCGGCTCCGCTACTATCTGTCGCGCATAGATAATTAACAATGATTAACGATATACAAATCGGTCAATCCGCTCGTGGCGATCGATCGGTTGTAAGAATGCAACCCTCTCTCTACACACAGAAAAATACATACTATATACAAGTAAATATTACTTGTTTCAAGTATTTCAAAAGTTCATATATCCGCAAATCTATGATAAGTTCATCATAAGCATCAAATTTATTCAAAATATATTCTGAATCCTAATAAATTTAATACTTCAATCAAGAATATTAAATTATATAATTGAAAGAAATACATTAAATTTTTCTGATCAAATAAATTTTCTTACATTAAATTAACCATATCTGACTTTTCCTCGATACAATTTTATAATATTCTTCAAAAGAAAATATTTACTTTTTTGAGTACATGATAATGAGTATTTCTAAAATTTGTGACAAATCTATTTTAAGACTATTATTAAGAAAATATTCTTTGTTAAAGATAACTGTTACTTAAAAGAAGTAAAGTAAACTGAGTAATCATTTTACTTAGCAATAGAATAATATTTTTCTGTGTGTAGATCTTGACGATGCCTGTTCTCGAAACGATTATCGTGTGAAGATTAAACAAAGAATTACAACTGATATGTCTTCTTTTGTTTACAATAATCACGGATTTGACGATGTTATTTATTTTATTTTCAAAAAAATTCGTTGAATCTCTCTCTGACATTTTATCGATCTTTATATGCATGTTATTAATTATACAATCATGTCGCTTGACAGAGATTTTTTAGATAGAATTTCTGATAGATAGAAATGTATTTTAATTATTCCACGAGTGACTTTCCTAAAGATCCACACGCGAGTGCCAATTCCGAGGAAACCAGTTTCACCGATAGGTGAACGCGATCAGAGTCATCGCAAAGTGCATACCGGTTTAACCTCATCGAACGAGATACCATAAGGATCTTTATTCCGTACAGGAGAAGACGTAGCTAATTTGCAAGGTCTTAATATTACAGCTGGTGTCTCCAGTTTACCGAGCCCCTGCGACTCCGTCGCAAATAAGATGTTTGCAAATGCAACTCCAGCCCCACCCACTACCTTTCCTTCCTTCCCACGTTTCCTTCTAGCTTTACGTAGTTTTATATATCAAATAATAGAATTAATTATAAAGTAAAATAGAAAACAAAATAATTTATAATTATTGTAGCCTTAATATCGGTCTAGAAAATTTTTGTCTTAACATTTAATGTTGTAGAATCTTGAATGTTACGATCCACGTTTGCCTTCCTTCCGCCTGTCTATTTATTTTCTCTAGACAAACGTTCTCGATGAGGTTCTTTGTATCGGAGCGATCTAATACTAGGAACACGGACTCGATTTAACTCGCTCAAGTACTCGGAATGGTTATTAATTATCTTTGTGTAAACGCGTCGGCTAATTGGACGGCATCGTATGCACCAATGGTTGATATGAGCGAGAATTTGATTCTCATCGTAAACTTTGGTTCACCGTAAGAAAGTTATTGTCGTCGAATTTATCATCGAAAAATTGCTCTCCCTCTTAATCTAAATAACCCAGACAGTATATGTCCTTAAAAGATGTCTAAAAAACGATTTAAAGATGTCTCTTATCGTTCTTTAGACATCTTTAAGATGTCTTTTGGCCTTTTTGAAAGATTTAGATAATGACCATCTTAAAAGAAGTAGCTGGAGAAAGTGTTTTGTTGAAATGAAAAAGTTTTATTATAGCGAGAAAAAATTTTTAAAAATATGAGAATAGATTTAACAAGTTAAAGAACATTATTGAACGTTTAATGTGTTTGATATTTTTCTCAAATTATGCATCCTCAAATAAATCGAATTAAAATGAAAATATCTTTCGATTCATTCTGACTCATCTATTTTTTAGGTGGAAGAGGGAAGAGACCAGGGGAGGGAAAGGAATAAACAGTTCGCTGAACGTCGGGTATCCTGCGCCGATCGTCGACCGCATGTCAATGAGGCGACGAGCCGTGTTGAAAAGTCAGCGAGCGAATCGAGCGTCGTTACATCCATCGTGAAAAATCGAATTTCCCGTGCAAATGTGTCGCGAATGGAATCCCGAGCGATCGCATCTGCATTTGAAATACATCGGTCGCTCGTTTGTACGAAGCCGCGACCGCGGCGAATAAAAAAAAAACGCGATCCGTGATGTGTCGATCATTGTTCGCGCAACGGCACTAACGTGCGTGATTCGCACGCGTTGTATTCTGCAATTTGGATAATGCATTCTCTTCTTACGCACCGACTTGTCATTATAGAAAGCTCGAAGACAATGCGACGACGATTAGAGGAATTGGAATGCGCGATAATGACCACGCTGTTCTCAGCATCGGGGTACAGGACACAATTTATTATGATGCGTCATTATAATTTTTTTTAGTCATTAGTTATTAAAAAAATAGTTAATGGAATGGAATAGTGTATCAATACAGATTGTATATATAATTAT